TTTGTTGTTGTTATTGCTGTTACTTTTTTGTTAATTTTCAATCGCGTTAAAAAGTTTTGATTTTTCATCGTTGTTTCATTACCCAGTGCAAGAGAGATAGAGTTGATACAGGGGGTGCGATTTACGAGCCGACAGATTGATTTCGAAAGTTCGCCGTAACAACGGTACGCGAGGTACATCCTCTATATATAATTCGGGGCTTCGAGCGCTCGAAATAAAGAATGGTCGAGCCGGTTTAATAGTTAGGATCGATTTAGTACATCGTGCTGCTGCTGCTACAGCTACGCGATGTACATTTTATTAAGCTTAAATTGAAGCTTAATTAAATATTACTCCCCGGCTGTGCACGAAGCACTTTGTTGAATGAATAAATTTTTCTTATCAACCTTTTTCTGCCTTTTAGCGTTTCAAAAGTGGATGAAAAAAATTTAATCAGTTTTGAAATCAGGTATATTTTTTTCGAGTAAGAGTTTGTGTACAGTTAATAATTTATTATTTGGAATCGAGTTTAAGGAATTATAAAATTATTCAATGCAATTTTTTGTACGTATTACTGTTTGCTACTTTTATCAAAATATCAAAGAAAATAACTTTTTTTGCTGAATAACAGTGAGTTAACCAATCGATTCATGCAAAGTACGAAATAAAAATTGAATACCGAAATGAAATTCAATATCGATGAAATCTGAAAGAAAGTAAAAAAAAAAAAGAAGAAGAGCAGACTGCGCGCTGAACAGAAAATTATAAAAACGATTAAAGCGGCTTAGGCTTGTATATAAAAAGCAAATATCGATTGCCGAGCGATCGGCGCACGGATTAATTAATTTCTCGTGATTGGACTATATCACGATTGCCGGTTATATGAGCATCATCCATGCGCGACGCGCGTATCAAAAATATCTTGTCGACGATCAGCATCATAATGTGATAATTGTTCGAGCGTCTCACGCGATAACGGAGGACCGAGCCATTAATCGTGACACGCTCATAAATACCTGTTCTAGTAAAAAGAGTGAAAAATACGTGAAAAAAAAATTAGCGAAAAATCATGCTTTTTACGTAAATTTTCATACAAGAATGTGAGCAGGCATCGGGCAAATCTTGAAAAATCACTATTTGAAGGAGGGAGAGGAGGAGGTTCTCTCGGCGGCGACGAAAGTCGAGAAGCAAAAAAAAGTTTTGAAAGCGTGCGAAGCTTGCAAGATTTCTCCGAGATCGAGCGCGCGCGCACAACCGTTTTTCATCGGCTGCTTAATCATTCGTCTCTTTCGCATTTTTGATTGCGGTCATATTTCGCAGGTGACGCGACGAGCGGGCTCTAGACGCGACAAGAGGGCAAAAGAAGCAGAAAAAAGCTCGACGCTGCGCGCGCGAAAGCTCACACCTATATACATTACGGTGAGCACATACTGCATTATTCAAAGCTTTATGGTGCTTGTGCTTGTGGAAATCCGATTGTTGGCCGCGCGCGGCGACACACAATATACAGCTGCGCCGCCGCTGGATGATTATTGCATGGAATTCGAATATAAGCGGCGATTTCTTGCCCAATCGCTCGGAATGCAACCCTTAACTCGAGTGTGTGAACGCTTTTGTTTGAAAAATTTTTGTTTCGATCGCGCCAGCGATAAAAACGCGGTCACACGCGCGCTCGGCCATGCGGCGGCTGCACTGCTGCGCTGCAAGCTCTCTGATTTATGCAAGCTAAATCCAAAGTACAGCACGTTTTGCTCGTACAATAAAAGTCTCCCGCACGCCGCGCCGCCGCTCTCATTGCAGCCGCCAAGTCCCCGTGATTAATGCGAGAAAATTTACGGCCTCATACTGTGCCATACTCTTATTAATAAACGTGCCAGATGCTTTATGATATTTTTCGAGAGCTCGAGCGCAAGCAAGGTACAAAGGAGAGAGAGATAGGAGAAAAATAATACAATGACGATAAATAAATGGCCGATATTTTCCGATAAATTTTTAATCGCATATCGGGGATACGCAAAAAATAAAATAAAAAAACATTGTTACGATCGTCTCGCAGATGATACAGGAAAAAAAGCGAAAAAGAGAGAAAGGCATTTATACGGACAAAAAATGGAGTTGAGAAAAATTCCATTGCTCGTGAGAATTTCCTGAAAAATGTTAAAAAATATGAGGTACACGCTCGAGCGCGAGGCCAAGGAAGTGTAAAGAAGCTATGTGTATGTGCTCAAGGTGCATAACGCGCGCGCGCCACTCTCGAGTATTTTCGTTAGTTTATTAGCGTGAAAGTTTAGTTGCAGAGCTACTTTCGCACTCCAAATAAGGTTACGAGAGAGAGAGAGAGAGAGAGAGGGCTTTAAAAACTTGCTTTTCTTCTCGCGTAAAAAGACGCCCGGTCCTCCTGTCTCGCATGCACACGCACACGCACACACACATACACGTGACACATACGGATCTCGTAGTTTTAATATTATAACGGGTAACGTCACGCTGAGTGACATATTTAAATGAGTGTGCGACGAGATGGTATCGTCGTCGTCGTCGCCGTCGTTTAGTTCACGACTTTTCTCGGCTCGTTGTACTTCGTAATTTTCATCAAGTAGCGTATAGCTATGGAGTCCAGCCTCCGTCGACGAAAAATATATATATTCGACAGAGAGAGAGAGAGAGAGAGAGAGAGAGATACAGAAAAATGACCGATTTTTCAAGCCAGGAAAAAGGGGTACTGCAGGAGTGGCCTCGGGGATAGTGAACTGCCTACGTATGTATGTATGTATGTATGTATGTGTATGTGCAAGTGTGAGATAGAGAGAGCGAGCCGATTATAGTGAAGTGCGCTAAGATAAAGTGCGCGCACTTAGTTTTGCACTGTCGCCCTGACAACGAGGAAAGTTTTCGAGTGGCACTTTACTGCTGCTGCTGCTACTGCTGCTGCGCTCGCGCACAAGACACTACGTGGTGCGATATTACCCGAGCAGCAGTAGCCAAGCTTTGCGCGCAGCTTCGTGCTTTATTCCTAGTGTTCCTAGGCGTTTCTTTCTTTTTTTTCAACTTTTTTTTTCTCACGTATTCACCCCCTTCTCGGATCCTTGTTGTCGTCGAATCTCATTACGATCTACTACGATAATGTACGTAAAGGAAAGAAATTTTTCAGCTCGAGCAAGAGAGAGAGAGAGAGAGAGAGATTCGTCGATTGATTTCGCGAAATCCTCCGCGCGGGCGTGCGAGCATTAAAAGTAAGGAGCGCGCGCGCCCCGCTGGAATTTAGCCGAAGGAACGAATTGCCCGCAGGATTGAGTTCATTACACGAAAATAAGAGATTAGAGTTTTAATTACAAACGGATTTTAGCTTTATATATGTATATATATGAGCGTAGAGGAGGTGGCTTATCCTCCGAGCTACGCGCCGCGAATTCAACGAGAGGTAGGCAAAAAAGAGAGAGAGAGAGAGAGGAGGAAAAACGAGAGAGCTACACTTTTTTCCACTTTCACTCTCTTGACTCGACATCATCAGGAGAAATTACCTCGAAAGCACCCTCGACAGAGAGCCTCTTTAAATTATAAGGCATTACGTGTCGCCCGTGCTTTCGCTATTTCCCTATATATATATAAAGACATTTCGCGTCGACAAAGAAACAGAGAGAGGGAAAGAGAGAGAGAGACTATGGCAATATTAGCAAAAGAAAGTGAAATCTCACGAAGCGGCTCGGTAATCGTATACCAAGCTTCTCTCTTTTCGTTTCATGATGACGACTATAGGACGGCAGCAGCAGCAGCAACGACGAAGACCCCCTTATATAGAACATGCACGAGGCGCGCGCGAGGCAATGCCTATACACTGTGTTGAGCGGCACTTTCAATTTTCCCTATTTAAGACTTAATGAAGGGCCACACCAAACTCCCCCCGTGGGAGAGAGAGAGAGAGCAGCGCCCAGCGTTATAGGCGCGCGCGAGCTTCCCGACAAAGAAGACGTTTCCCGGCGTATATAAGAGTGTATACTTCGTTTTGCGAGCTGAGCTGCCTATACACTCGAGCTGCTCGCGCGCGCGTGTTTTAATCTTTCAGCTCCGTCGACGATTTGGATTATACGTTTTGACATTTTGCTTCCTACCTCTATGCCTCTCTCGTTCCTCTCTTTTTCACTCTTACACTACTACATCTTACGCTTCGTTGCGCTTGATTTACTTTCATCGGTAACACTTGCTTTTTTTTTGTCTCGTGCCCCATCCTCGTGGAGCTCTCTTCGAATCGTTGGTCTGTTTGAAGTTGCTTTAAATCGCTGTTTATTCAGAGAATAATTAAGAGATTAAAATTTACTAGGTACCTTTAGGGTAGTTTACAAATCACCCACTTACTCGATCACCTTATCAGGAATTTAAAAACTCGCGCCCAATAGTTTATTTCGACGTAGTAACGACGCAAATTCCATAGATAATTTACTGCCAGCTGACGCTCCATTGACTAGTTTTATTAAAATAATTTTATTCGTATTACCATTATATGAACTGTATCGGTGTGGGTTCAGAGATATATTTTTTAACACTGCGTGCGCGAAACACGGGCTTTCTAACCTTAAAGCGTCAGAAAACCCTAGTTTCTCGCAAGCAGAGTTAAAAAATATCGTTTGCAACTAGTCCGCGAGGAAGTTGACTCACCCAGGAGTCTTTGCACCCTCGCTACGCTCGGGTGAAAACAACTCCTGGCTGAGTCAACTGCTTCGCGCACTTGTTACAAAATATACTATTTCGATTGTGTGTACATTTTTCTGCTTATATCGCCTGTATGTGCAAGCAAAATTGAATGAATGAAAATTTCATTATAATTTCTGTGTAGTTTCAATGACATGCGAATGTCTCTATACCTACATGTGTAGCAGTACATTACAACTTATGGCAGTTGACGGTAGAGGGGGAAAATATCGCCATAAAGTCATTATAGCAACAGGGTCTTCTTGCTAATACATTATACGAGTAGTGCGTTCACTCGCTCAGTACAATTTCCTCAGTAAGCAAGTGTTTACAAATCATGTCCTTATAAGTGTCTAGACGAAATAGAAAAACAGTGTTGGCTATCCGAGGTGTTTAACCTACAAATATTTTCTCAGCGAATAAAGTGAAAATTCAGTCACTACACATACAGAAAACCAATAGATAGAAAGCCGAGAGATGGAAATTCAAAAAAACCCAATTAGGTATTACTTTTTCTGTTGATGCCATAATATTTTTCAAACGATTGCTTCTTTGAACTTCATTATTCTTTCCAGGGTGAAGAAAGAACCGAAATAAACTAGTGCAGATGCAGGTGACGATTATATATTTGATTCAGTGGACTCTTGCAAAGTCAAAAACTTGGAAAATTTTCCGTATTACAATCCATTAGTGAGTTATTAATCGTTTAAGTAGAGTTCTACTTTCCCACTATCAAAAGATAGAACATAATTTTAATTTTAGGCAAATAAAATGAATGAAACGATCGAGTTACCCGACAAGTTAGGTAAAAAAGTATCCATGGATTTCGAGTGCAAACAAGAACCCGAATTGCCGTCTTCATCGGCAACAATCTGCAAAACTGAGTGTCAAAGTTATCCACCTACTGTAGAAGTAAAAAAAGAAGTTCAGAATGATGACATAAATGAAAATATATCCATAATTTTTGAATCCAAAGATGTTAAACATGAACTGCCGTCTCTATCGACAATTATCTGCAAAACGGAGTGTCAGAGTTATTCACCTATTGTGAAAGTAGAAAACCAAATTCAGACCAGTTACTTGGATGAAAAAAAACTATTAGATTTAAAATACCAACATACCTTAAAAAGCCACATAGATGTCGAGTGTAATATTTTTGGCCGATCATTTGGAGAAAAACAAAACCTTAAACCCATTGAATGTGACATTTGTCACAAATCATTTAACAACCAAAGCAATCTGAAGCGTCACATAAAAATATTACACAATAAAATCAAATCATTCGAGTGTAATATTTGTCACAAATCGTTTGGACAAAAATCATATGTCAACACTCACATAAGATCAGTACACGATCGTAGGACCTTCGAATGCGATATTTGTCATAAATCATTTGCAGTCAAAAGTAATCTCAATATGCACATAAAAACAATACATAATCCTAACAAACCCTTCGAATGTGAGATTTGTCACAAATCATTTCGAGGAAAAGGTAAACTCAAGAGGCACATAAGCACGGTACATAATCGAATCAAACCCTTCGAATGTGACATTTGTCAAAAATCATTTGGATACAAAAGTTACCTTAAAAATCACGTAAATGTAGTGCATAATTGTATCAAAACCTTTGAATGTGACATTTGTCAAAAATCATTTGGATACAAAAGTTACCTTAAACCTCACCTAAATGTAGTGCATAATCGTATCAAAACCTTTGAATGTGACATTTGTCACAAATCATATGGATATCAGAATGGACTCAAAGTCCACAAAATGAAGGTTCATAATTAAAGCATTCTATAGTAGCATTAAATTAGTCCGGAGACATTTGGAAGCTATGATGACTTCTACTATAGCATGAGAACGCTATGTAATTTTGGAAATCTTTCACATGAATATCCTTTAATTTTGTGAAGTACAATAACACATTTTAAATCGTTATTCATTTTGACGGGATTGTAATTAAATGAAATAATAATAATGATTCGTCTTCAATCAGTTCATTAAATTATTTCTATTTAACCGATTTTTTGCCATTCCAATTATTAGTTGAACCTTTTCCAAAATACCTACTACTTACTCTCTATCAGCATGTTAGTAGAAAATCCTTATCTTGAATTAAAGTATCATTTTTAAACTTCGCACGCTGGTCCTACAACTTATTTAGATAAACGCGGAAGATTTGGTGATTGGCACCGTTGATAAAAAAGCTCTGCGTAATTCAAAGTTTATCGTGTATAATCATAAAATAGTATATTATGCTATGAGTGCATGAAACAGATGACTTATAAGTAAGTCTTTTTTTTCATGCACTAGTTGCACACGATTTTTTAACATTTCGTGCGTATAACAAGGTTCCTAAGACGCTCTATAAGGTTAGAAAACCGGAATTTTACGCATAAAATGTAAAAAAAATATTATTTTTCAGAAAATACACTTGTAGCGCAGATTAGCATATATCATCGCGCGCAGAAATAATGAATGCGAATTGTATCGCGAGTTCTACATACCGCCTTTCGAGAAAAATGCCGCAACGGAGAAATATCTGTTTGGCAATTCTTTTCTCTTACACCTTCGATATGCTAAGGTAACTGCATTAAAAACAAACGAAACCACGAGACTGCGCATATCAATTAAAGCACGAGTCGATCGTTTGCATACGCGCGACTGCGAGCGTAACGTACGGCGCACGATAAATCGTATCTCGCCGACTTGCGGAGGAAATAGCTCTGCGCGCTGTGTATGTATATTCCCGATGCCAAAAAATTCGAGTCCTACATCTCCCAATAAGCGTAGCACGACTCTCTGTCTCTCTCTTGAAAGTCACCCCGGTTTTCTTATAGGCACTTTCGGGCGCGCGCCGTCGTCGTCGCACGCGCAACTAAACAATTTTCCGCTCGCAGCTCGCCGCACCCCCATGGCTTGCTTATAGGAACCGACGCTTCAAGAAAGCAGCAGCAGCAGACTCGAATCGGAGAAGACGTTGGCTTTCGGGGCTAACCATAGCAGCTCTGCACACCGCACACAGACGCACACACATCTAAACGCACTATATACATTTGCCGCACGCAGCCCCCCAGAGGAACTTATCTAATATACGCGTGGAGGCTTTCTCTTCGTCCGTTTCTCTCTCTCTCTTTCTCGTGTCTTTTCCCCAGACGCGAAAAGTTACGTATATAACATCTCCGCACGACGACGACGTCTCGTCTTCTTCAATCTTAGTGTAGAAGTATATGTATAGATGTTGCTCGTGTTCTCGCGCCTGTATACGTATTTGTGTGTATACAGAATACGTGCGAAAGGCAAAAGGGGTCTTCCTCGTTCGCTCAACTTTCATCTCTCTCCTGCTCGAGTCGCGTGTTATTTTGCTCTCTCACGTCGACTTATTTTTCCTAGCTCGCATCCACAAGTTTATGTTTATTGTCGATATTATCGATGTACTGTCATGATTTCATCGACATGTGTGCATGCTCGGCTTTGTTGAAAGCTTGGAATATTTCGGAAACTCGACATTCATCTTCAGTTTCACTTAATTACCTTTTTATCTTACTGATTTAACTGTTGTTTTATAAAAGTTACATCAATCTTATATTTTTGTTCTTCAACTCGAAAGACGCTTCACTCTCGCAAGCAAGTGTAGTGGCATTCGACTCCCAAGTAAATCGCGCAATAGCAGCATTACTTTAGGGGGTAAGGGTGCGCGCCGAGCTTCGTGTACTCTTTCAAAAGAGACGTGAGCAGCGCAGACATCGCGCAGGCTGTATAGGTTTATATCGACTTTCCGGGTGATTCATAGGCGTAGATACACGCGATGCAGGGCGTCAAATCAGTCGTGAAAAAAAAAGGAGAGCCAAAGCAAATGGAAGGAAACGCGAGCGTGCACACGTCGATCGGCGACGTACGATAATAGGGCAGCGCGCAGCGGAAAAAAACAATAGACGTCGAGGATTCGTCAAGCTGCCGGAGAATAAATCTGTCAACGGCATGTTTATAGCGCGCAGCTGTGCTATATATACGCGGGTGTTGTTGCTGCTGCTACCTCCGACGTCGTATATGCCGTTTGCTCTCTCTATATCCTCGCGTGTGCCGTGTGACGCTAATTCTATTTTGTTGCCTTCTTATCTGTATAGGAGACCCGTGGAGCTTTATGGTGTAACATCGGTATAAACGCACCAACTAAGCTTCCATGTTCAAACATTTCTCAGGATCTATAATTCAGTGACAGATTAGAAAAAGTGCCACCCCTACGCGAATCATAATTTGCCGCTCAAGCCAGTTGATTTTTGAAAACTCGGAAAATTAAAATCTAAGCATTAAAATAAAATTGTGGATTGATAAAAGCACTACAGAAAAGTATGTATCAATGTAAAGAGCTGATTATAATTTTATAAAATGTATAAAACACTTATAGGTTAAAATTAAGTATTTAAATACAAAATTATTATTACTTCTGATTCACCAAATAGAAAATTTACGGAGGGTATAAATTAGCTGTAGTATAAAATAAACCACCAACCACGACAGTAAACGAAGGTGTAATCATAATTGATAGCACGAGGTTCAGGTAAGACACAATCATATTCGTACAATTCTTATTTCAATTTTAGGAAAGCTTGTACTTTAACATCTATACAAGTTTCTATATACATTTAAAATTGTCGAGAACAAAATTAGTGCTTTTCATTATTACCCTGATGAGGTGTATGTTATTTTCTGACGAACTATTCCAAGGATATGACTGCTATGAGTTCGAAAATTTCGTATAAATAACAATTATGCATAAAAATTGGATTATCATTTAACGTGAAATTAGATGGAGTTTCGCATTTTTAAATAATGAATAAAAAAATTATTTGATAGGTATAGTTTGTAAGAATTTTATCGACTGTTTTGCCGTGTCAACTCGAATTCGATGCAGGTAGACAAACACTTGATAATCTTGACTTCCGTGGCTTGTCTTTTGAAATTGCTTCGATCCCTAACTTTCTTCCCACTCTTGTCACATGCATATGTGATTTTAATCCAAATATCCTCTCGCATTCATCACTTACTTAATCTTTGCGACCTTCGTGTACCGTCTTCTGGTGAGTTAGCAAATTTTGTTTTTGTCCAAATTTACTCTCGCAATTTTCACATGCGAAATCTTTACGGCCCTCGTGAACTGTTTTTTTGTGTCTTATCAAATTGCTTGAATCCCCAAATTTTTTCTCGCAATTGTCGCATGCGTAATCTTTTTGACCTACGTGGACAGTTTTTTGATGTAATCGTAAATGCCTCTTTTGTCCAAATTTCTTTTTACACTTGTCACACGCGTAATCTTTCCGACCTTCGTGTACTGACTTTTGGTGGGAGAGCAAATGCGATTTTTTTCCAAATTTTTTCTCGCATTTTTCGCATACGTAATCTTTTCGACCCTCGTGGACCGTCTTTTGGTGGATAAGCAAAGTCCATTTGTGTCCAAATTTCTTCTCGCAATTGTTGCACGCGTAATCTTTCCGACCTTCGTGTACTGTCCTTTGGTGGCACAGCAAATGCGGTTTTTGTCCGAATTTCTTCTCGCATTTGTCACATGCATAATCTTTGTGACCTTCATGGATTGAATTTTGGTGGACGAGCAAAGTCGATTGTTGTTTAAATATCTTCTCACACTTGTGGCATGCATAATCTTTACGATATTCGTGTATTGTCTTAAGGTGCACGTATAAACTTGATTTGTGTCCAAATTTCCGCTCACAATTTTCACATGCATAATCCTTGCGATTTTCATGTACTGCTTTTTGGTGATTGAACAAATTTGATTTCAGTGCAAATTTCTTCTCGCACTTGTCGCATGCAAAATTTCTGCGAC